AATACTGTCTTGGCAGTGTCTGTCTGGTCTAATGGTCAAGGCCTTTGGCTCACTTGACGGACTTCCATGGCCTCGAGCCCCGGCTAGAAAATGGCATGCCCAAAGATTCAGGAGCTGAGATATACGGAAATGTGAAACTAAAAGGAAGTTAGGAAATCAAGGGTACCCAACGCTGGAAGCTGGCAATTCTTATCCAGCATATGCACTGAATGGGCAAGACATGGGTGTTGTTGGCGGGGAACACAGCAGTTCAATTAGGGGTATGGGATCCTATGAAAACGCTCGAGCACTCAGGTCCTGCATCAAATAAAATTAAAGCAAGCTGCGACCAGGGAGGTATCCTTAGCATCTAGACTGTGAGGAGCTCCTGCAGATCATGCCAAGCCGCCGTCACGTGACATGTCAGATCTGAGCTGGCACGGCTGCTCCGGGGCAGAGGGTTCTCTCCAAGCGGCGAAAGGCAGAGCGATCACCAGCGCCTCCTCGCCAGGGGCCGGAAAGTGTCCTGAAGGTTTTGAGATGGCGTCGCGGCAACGAGAGATACTGAATCTAAACACTGAGCTATCCGTGAATATGCCATGGGTACTATGGTACACTGGCGCTTTAACAGCAGCCCCAAACCGCAGATATCGGCAGTGCTTTGCAGATGAGTTTCTGGTGGTGTCCCACGTGTCCCAAGAAACGACCTAGTGGACGGGTTGGCAGGGCAGGGCTCCGTGCTCGTGTTGAAGACAAGCTATCCACCTAGACTTGGTTGCCACCCGATGGTGCTGGAGGCGATGCGGGCTGAGATGTTCTCCCTAGAAGATGCCGAAGTTGCGACCTGTGTGCCCAGCAAGGCTGAGTGTCGCTGGCAATCGAACACTGGGGGACGTGGTGCTGCGGGAAGGATGCCGCCGCTGTACATACAGTACTGGCAGTGCCCGCATCCCAAACAAGAGCAGCCAGCACCAGCAGTGCCTCCACCAGACCCCTTCACTCCTGTGCAACAGCAGCTTCAACCCGGGGCGCTTCAAGCCCACACCCGGGTCCTTGAGCTGTTTTCAGCCGGAGGTCTCGAAAGAGACTTGTTCGAACCGCCACACTCAGCCACACCCATGCGTTGCAATTGCGATGTGAGCTTTGGAAGCTACATGTTAGTATGGCTCGGGAATTGAACCATTGAAGCAGGATTGAAACGGATGCCAACTCGCGAAATTTCTAGATTAGAAATTAGAGGCTGAGAAGGCGCTCGGGGCCCCTGGAACCAGGCAATTCTAAGAGAAGTTCGGGGCAAATACGCCACCCTCCCTGCAGCCCCGTGTGTTGCAATCTGGAGACAACCCGGAAAAGCCCCGCGTATGTGTTCCAGGGGGCTCGGTAGCGCACTTGGATCCTCGCGCACGGCACAGGCTTGTTCAGGACGCGTAACCATACTGTAACTGTAGCAGAAGCTATCAAAGTCAGTACACCACAAATCCAGCAGGCTGCCCTAGACGACTTCGCAGTACCGTCCAGAAACGTTGCCCTTCTGTTGACGAAATCTCGGCTGATTTTGCCACGCATCCGCTGCTGCCAGGTGGTGGAGAACCCCATTTGGGCCTGAAGGAAGCACAAGACCGAGCAGCACTCACAAAAACGCAGAGCAGTGCGTGGGTGCTTCTCTCTCCTCCAGGCTGGCAGTCACGGTGGCAATGTGATCGGCAAGACGTTCTTGCCGGGCGAAGACTTCCTGAGTCGGTTCGGATCATCGGACTTGACGCAGCAAGAGCCCTTGCACCTACCATGGCGAGCAGGCGCGCAAATCCCTTGCAGCATCTGTTCGGTTCATAGTGGAATCCGAGAGAGTCAACCCGAGAAGGTGGTCAAAACATTGCTACTTAGCTGCTTCTATCTCAGTCTTATTGCACGGGCCTTGCGGTGTGGCCGTGTGGCTTTACGACGTCTTCGTGAGGGTATTGCAGCTCAGCTTCCGTGTGCTGGTACTCAAGCAGTGTCAGCCTTGGAGGAGCCTGACGTAGATGCTGCGGGGATATGCCTTTGGTAGAACCGCTGTACGTACACCTACAGATCGACAACTTACTTGCAGGGACGACGGCCAGTCGAGATTGGGACGACAGTGCATGAAGTCTCACGTCCGTGCCATGGGCCTCACAAGCCAGCAAACCCTGCATCTGGGTAGTGTGTAAAGGGATTGTTGCATCTTGCGTCCCAAAACTGAGCATCACCTCCCGCAAGTTGGAAGGACTTGGCCTCTGGACACGGCTGAAGATGGACAACCTCCCACTCCATCTCCTGGACTGGGCAGTGCAACACTCCGTCTTTGAGATCGGGCAGTGCTTACTTGGAGCGAGCGGATGCATCCTAAGGTACCACCGGCTTGTGGCTCGTCTGAAGCATTGAAGCTAACTATGTCACTATCCTGTACATCGCAGACATTGATCTCTGCTTTAGCGAAATCCCTCCTCGTTCGGCAATCAGCATAACTGAGCATTACCGGGTTGTGTCACAGTGCTGCTCCCCGGCAAGCCGAGCCGGGCGGCGTAGCGTTACAAATCGACTAAAAACTAGCACCCAGCCAGATGCGTAAAATCAGTCACGTCTCGGATATTGGATCAGTCGGGCTGGTTGCAGTGAAACGGTTCCTGGTTCTCGACCCATTCATGGCCGTCCGGGCATCAATAGGCCATGTACGTTTGAAACAGAAAGCCAGGCCCACGCCCTGTCCAAATAAAAAGCCCCGCAACAGCAAACGGCAACACATCCTCACCGGCCTTTCCAGTAGGAACCACCACTTTGCAGCTGAACGGTCGTGTTACATCCATATACATCCAACGCATCATGTCTGCAGTGCATTCAAAGGCCTTGTGGTCGCGTTTAGGGACTCGGCGTTATGTCGCACAAAAGATTGGAAATGGACGACGGCAAAGAATTACTTGCCTGTCTGCCTCTTCCACCAAGAACAGTAGCTGATATAAGACTCCACCCACGTGTTACAAACAGTCTTTCTGCCTCCTACTTAGCAGGGGCAAACAGTCTGCGTGGCTGGGTTGGCTTCACCTGTGGCGCTTTTCGGGGTTCAGCGTGCGTTTTGCTGGGTGACAGAAGCCTTCTACAAAAAAGTGCGTTTTTCCCACGTCGCGGAATTGCACCTGAGCTTGCGCAGCTTGGTTCTGCTTGGTTGTCTTCATCAGTTGTGCCTTCGGGGGATTTGGCGACAACACAGCTGAGCCGCCTGAGCATTTCTGTGGGTCTCGAAGAAAAACACTCCTCATTGAACACCCAGTCCACGTCTCGACCATGCGTGTGGACAAAAACGAGGCGCATTTGGGAAACGATTTCGCGCTCATCGCGCTCCCAGTGTCGATGCCCTGTATAAATTGGGTGCTTCCCCGCCCCATTAACAGTGACCACAAGATGAACCACAACGAAAAGCACAAGAAAATCTGTCGAGCTCATCGATTTTCTAAATCTCCAACAGGACAAACCCCGAGACCGTG